GAAGAGCGGCCTGATCCTCCCTCTTTGTAGGGTTCTTGCCTGAACTCGGTAGCATTCCTCAACCTGTTCGAGTTCTTGTCCTGTTTGCTGGATCCCCCGGATCCATATTCCATCACAGCCTTGTTGAATCCAGTGTTTCTGAGAAACCCGTCAACGGAAATGTCTGAATCTACCTTCTTTGGCCCATTTCTGAAGTACCCTGAATCAGAATTATCAGAATCATAGAGAAGAAAACCATTGTCCTTGCCAGATTTCAGCTGGGTCTTGGCCATCGTCCCGTCAGCATTGTTACAGCAGAACTCTCCAACATTCTTCACGTCGACAATCTTCAATTCTCCTGAAGAGGACTTTGTCTCCAGAATCACTGAGTTGTTATCCGATGACTCGCCCACTGAGTTCACCAGGTTATGAACTTTCTTGAAACCGGAATCCCTCGACAACAGCATCAAGCACAACGCAAGTTCTTCCTGCTCTTGCTCGATCTCAGAAGCAGAAGAGGAGTTGCCATTAGCGAAAGAGGCTGAACTGGACTGAATAACGTTGCCTACGGCAAAACCCTTGCTGTGTTTCATCACCCTCTTGGATCTCCTCCTAATCGGAGCCGAGGATGTCTCTGTATCAGACTGACTGTCCATCACCGCTTTCTCCCTGTCGGAATGGCAAGCCATGTGACCGCAAAGAGCTTTCAGAGAACTGAACCCTTTGCCACACTCTTTACACAGAAGAAGCTGCTGCTGTTGCTGTTGCAAAGCGATCATCTCAGTTTGATCCGAGAATCTCTTGTTCTTCTTAGGGTTTTCCCTCAGACCATAACTAGATTGGCCACCATTGTCACAGATTTTGAGCTTTTCGGCTTCATCCTCGTCTGAATCGACTGAATTCTCGTGCATATGAGTTCGTATGTGGCCTCCAAGTGATTTCCCACAAGGGAATCTCTTGGAACAGAACTTGCACTCAAAGTTCCTCTCTTTGTTCTGTTCCATCTGATCGGTCGATCTATTATATCAGACAAATGATCAAACAGGAAGCAAACAGAATCAAAAGCGGATTCCTGACAATAAGAAAAAAAAAACACAGCACCAAACACGATGAAGAATGAAGAAAGATAATAGAGAACCCATTTCTCTTAGTTACCTGAAACCTTCAACTCAATGCTAAAACCAAACACCCAATTCGCAGGAGAGAGAGAGAGAGAGAGAGAGAGAGATCAAGCAGAAAGCTTGTTGCTTTCAAAGCGATCAGATTTAGGATGTGACAGTTGTTCTGTGCTAAGTGCAAGATCCGACCTCCAAGCTAAAGGAAAACAAAAACCAAGAGAGTAAAAAAAAAAAAAAGACTTTGAAAATTCCCAATATCAAAAGTTCGGAGATTTTTTTTATTCTGTTGGCGAAAATTAGAACCAAAAACTTCGGAGGAGAGATGGGTTCCTAAGACCAGTAATCAAAGCGCAGCCGCATTTTTTGTTCCTCTCTGCTCTCTCTCTCCCAACGCACACAGAGTCTCTCTCCCTCTCTCTCTCTCGGGTGTGTGAGGAGAATTCCATGCAAAGAAACAAAAAGAAATGAGAAAGGGAACAAAGGGCAGAGGAACACGTGTTCACTTAGCGAGAGAAACCCTCTGTGTGTTTGGACTTATGGACGGTCAAGATCTTTTTTTTTTTCCTTTGACCCGCATTACCCCCTTTCTCAATGTAAATCCCTTAATTAACCCTCTAATTTAATCACAAAATCCAATATACATAACTCCCATATGGTAAAATAAAGATACGATTTTTAATTGCCTTTTTTATTGCGGTAGTGATGATGATCAGATCTGGTTGCTTTCGGGCAATGGGTGAAAACCATGGGACCAAACAGATAGAAACTGCTCAACGTCCAAACACGGCCTTTAAACTTTGTCTTTTGCTTTGTTTCAGTTAATGTCACAGAGAGAGAGAGAGAGAGAAACTGTCGACAGAGAGAGAGAGAGAGAGAGAGAGAGAGAGAGAATGAAATTGGTTCACATATTCCCCTATTCTAAAGCAATGAGCTTTGGCTCGGAATATTATGAGGGTTTGTTTTTGCTGTTTCGACCATTTCTTCATCTCTCTCTTAACCCCCTTTTCTCTCCCTCATCATTACATTACACAAAACAACCATACATACATACATACATACATACATACATACATACATACATACATACATACATACATACATACATACCTTTTTTTTCAGTTCTCGAGCAAAAACGAATGATTCTGTTAAAGGTTTACATCTAGTGATGATATCAACAACGAATATGAGAAATCGACCCAACGATTAGACCTTCACTCTGAATATTTTTCTTTCTTTTTTTTTTTTACAAGTTTTGGCTGAAACTGAAGCCACAGGTCCAAAATAAATAAATAAAAAAAACTAAAAGAAAGGAAAAATAAAAATAAAGCCATTAGACTTCCCCCACAACCAAATGCTTGCTTCTCAAGGCAAAGGCGGAATTCACCTTCCAACTTCCATTTCCGCAAAGAAATGAAGGATCCAAGATCGAATCGCAAGTCCTTCTCAAGCAAGAGAGAGAGAGAGAGAGAGAGAGAGAGAGAGAGAGAGAGAGAGAGATTCTGGGTAATCTGCCATCTTTCCCCTTGAGGGTCCCCCAAGGAAAAAAAGGGAAGAATTCTCCATTCACACTTCAACCTGCAAAGATCCCACAACTGAGAAATGCTTTCACAATCTCAAAAAGGATCCCTCGCCATTTTGGGTGAACGTCTCTCTACATTAATAGCAAAAAAAGAAAAACGAAAGACCAAACCCCATTATCTATAATCCTAGGATTCTGCAAAGTTGTGCCCTTTGATGTTTTCTCCTTTCACTTTCTTCTCTGTGTTACTGTTGTTGCTCTTCTCGTCCAGAGCACTCTTACCAAATATCTCCTCGATGATGCTCCGCGTCGGTAAGAGTTCCGCACTCTTCTTCGGAACGTCCGAGAATCTTCCATCCCAAACTTTAGCATTGCACGACTCGAATAAATAGTCCCGACTCACTGTATCGTTACCCCCGTCGAGCTGCTTCTGGTTATCCCCGAGGCTGTTCCCGTTGTTCGGATGGGAGTTTGCTATGTTTTGCGGATCCTCAAAGGATGTGCACGAGTCATCTTCGACATTTAATCCGTCCCCTGAGCTCTTATCCACGGGCTTGTTATCATCAGATGGCATGATGCCATGTCCATTACCAACATCAACCTCATCATCACTATCACTTTCCTCGTCTTCATCCTCTTGTCGATAGATACTCTCAGTTTCTTGACGAAGAGGGGACTCGATATCAGAGTCTTCCTCATCATCCTCTTCGAAGTATCGGATCCCGAAAGAGCTCCCGTATCCTCCATGCCACTCATCGTCATCACTATCAACGTCTAATTTCTGTATTCTGTTCTGGGTAGCCCTCCGCCTGAGGACAAAAACGTTGAAATAGTAGCTAACAATCTCACTCTTTGTCCGTGACGGAAATGCGGCTGCTAAGTGCTTCCAAAAGTTCCGACCCATTGATACAGGATTGGAATAAACAACCTCATGAAAAAGTTGTTCATCCTCCTCACTCCAGTTCCGCACAACTTCTTCTCCCATTTCACTTAAACCCAAGTCTTGGAATTTCTCGTATCCAATCATATTTATCGTTTCTTCTCTTGCTTCTTTGATATGAAGACGCACACACCTGAAAGATCCCCTGTCCGGGCATACACATTGTTTTCTGCCTTCTCCCACTTTGACATCCTCATGTACTGGTATGCTTGAAGCCGGCAGCATGGGAATGATGCACGTTCCAGTCAACTTCTGGCCATCTGTGTGTTCGACAACCTGGTTTCGAGCTAACATGCCCAAGCCATCTACTGGCTTCTCGTCCATAGCATCGCCTTCCCATTCAGGAGTATCAGCTTGATGGTCTGGTCCAAGAGGAACTTGTTTTCTCGGGGGCTGATCCAAGAGGAAAGTATACACATCCCCAACAGGAGCAAACACTCTTGGGGGTATATCAAGCTCAAAATATCTTTGAGGAAGAGATGATTGAGTTGTATATTCTTCACCAGGACTTTTTGTGACCCATGTACAAGCAGCACCCATGCCAAGACCTGAGCCAACAGAATTCAGCTCTTCACCAAGGGTTTCATCATCAGATGATTCACCACTTTGGGAATTACAAAGATTCCCCTCATTCTCTACTGTCCCATAAAAGTAATTGAAGTGAGAAAGGCAAATCACATTTGGAAGTTTAACCCTTTAACAATAACATTAAAACCCATAAACAATTCATAATTACAGTCTATATTTACCCGCTACAGCAGGTTTCTGGAGAACAGAGGAGAGAGGAACAACTTCATCAAATTGAGTCGTCTTATTGCTATAGTCAAGCTGTCTCGAATGCTTCAAAGGAAGTCCCAGAGACTCCTCATCGTCAAAAGGGCGTTTGAAACCCATCTTCAATCTGCAATTCGGACAACAAAACTCACACATTAACTCTAAGGAATAAAAAGTAAAACGAGTAGCAAACGTAGAAACAATAACATGCAAATGTGGACAGAAACGCATAGAAGAGTTCCTCACACTAAACACATAGTTAGTAACCTTACAAAACCAGACTAAGCCAGAGAACGCATATGCACATAAAAATGAAAAGTAGAAATACATCCATTGGAACATAACTATCCTACAATGCAATAATATCTAGTTAACAAGCACAATATTTACCTTTCTCAAGGGACAAGCTTGAGCTCAGCTTCAGGACAACTGCACCAAGGGGAAGCCAAACAGGAATATCACTATAAGGACTGAAATACGATCAAATAGGACACGAGAAGGAGGTTCTTAAGCGATTTCCCCAATTTGCTTCGACCAAAATCGAAAAATCCCAAATCGCACGAAACCCTAACCCTAGATTTCGATTTACAGAAAAATTCGAAAAATCAAGTGTTGCAAGGGGACGAATCGGCAAAAAACTGTCAGAATAAGAGAAAGCCCTCTACGAATTTACAGATCTGACGAACCCTAATATAGATCGAAAAACTAGGAACCCTAGAACTCAATCGGGGACGGAAAACATGAAATTGACACCAAAACAAAGAAGGATATATACCGAATTCAAAGTAGGAGCCGAGAAGAACGATCAATCGGGGGGATTACGCAGATCTAAGGGGACCGATAACCCTAACCCTAGATTTCCCTTCGACAGACAAAATATACAAAAATTTGGTATCAATCGAGAGAGAAAAAAGAGAATTGAAAAAACCAAAGGACAAATTCGAGGATTAATACCAAGAATTCCTGAGGGAAACAAAAAAAAATCGAATACGATGAAAAATTGGGGAAGAACACGAAAGGGGATAATATCGAGGAAGGGATGGTGTGTTTTTTCTGTCTTTTTTTTTTTTACCAAACGGCCCAATAACACCAATTCGGTTTGACCCGGATTCCAAGAGTCGAAGACCCTTTAAATTTGCTGCACCTCAAATTTAAGATCAGTAAATTTCGGTTATAGTCCTTTAATTTTATTTTCATATACTTTCTCCCCTAATTTTGTATTTATCATTTAAACCCAAACCTGCACAACAATATCGCCAATTCAGTTTAAGCTTTTGTCACGCATCAACGATTCTTCATGGATTGGACAAAACGTTTCCGATCTTTTACTTAGATACATCAAAACTAAATACATATGGATTAGGTTCTTATATATATATTAATAAAGAAAAAATATAAAAAACAAACTTTACAATTTTAACAGAAAAACACCGAATTTTTGTTATTATCAAAGAAATATTAAACTTTTTAAATGAGTTTAAAAAACACTAAACTTTTTAAATGATCCAAAAAAATATATTAATTTTTATGCGATTGTCAAAAAATACTAAACTTTTTAAATGATTCAAAAAAATATATGAACTATGTATAATTGTAAAAAAAACGACAATAATTTGACGTGTTTGTATCTTTTTATGTCATGTCAGCTCATTTGTTTATTTTAATAATCGTAAAAGAGTTAAGTTTTTTTTTGAAAATTTAAAAAATTTAATGTTTATTTGACAAAATTAAAAGTTTAGTGTTTTTTGTCAAAATTGAAAAGGTAAGTTTTTTTTACAACAAAAGTTATTTTAGAGTTCTTGTCATATGATTTAATCGTAACATTTCATTCTTTTGTTGTGGGGTTGTCAATTATAAAAATATATATAAGTGGATCCAAAATAAGAACATGTAATCCGATGCATGCATTTGTATGCGTTTATTACCGAAAAGAAAACAAAACAAATGAACAAAATCAGATACACTCTTCCAGCTGAAAAGGGCATTCAGACACTTCAAAATTCAGATAATACACAAAAAATATACGGAAGGACATGATAAATAGCTCGATGTCGGAAACATCTTGTAAAGCCTTTTAAGCAACTGCAGGCATGTCCTTGAGCCATGAATCCAGTGGCTTACCGATCGAATAGACGATAAAGCCGATCTTCCTCAACGTCTGCACGTCCACAATGTTCCTGCCATCGAACACGAACGCGGGTTTCTGCATATTGTCGAAGATCTTCTGAAAATCCAACGATTTGAACTCGTCCCACTCGGTTAAGACACAGATTCCATGAGCATCTTTCGTTGCCTCGTAAGCATCTGAGATTACGGTGACTTGTTCTGAGATTGCGTCGCGGTTCGTGTGCTGAAGATGAACAGGATGATCCCAATCGAACTTGGCCATACTGAGATCTTTCTTGATCTGTTCTTCCGAAACCTGAGGATCGTAAATGCTCAGCTTGGCCCTGTCGGCAACTAAGCTGTTGCAGACATCAATGGCGGGTGTCTCTCTGGTGTCGCCAGTGTCTTTCTTGAACGCAAACCCCAGGATGGCGATCTTCTTTCCGGAGACGGTGTTGAACATCGAGGACACGACCCGGTTCGCGAAACGGATCTTCTGGTAATCGTTCACCTTTATGACTTGCTTCCAGTAGTTAGCCACCTCTGGCAAGCCGTTGCACTCGCAGATATAGACAAGATTCAGGATATCCTTTTGGAAACAAGAGCCACCAAAACCGACACTGGCGTTCAAGAACTTGGGTCCGATTCTCGTGTCCTTACCGACAGCATGTGACACTTGTGTAACATCAGCACCTGTTGCCTCGCACAGCGCTGACATGGCGTTGACAGACGAGATCCTCTGGGCCAAGAATGCATTGGCCGCAAGCTTGGAGAGCTCGGCTGACCAGAGGTTGGTGCAAATGATCCGTTCCACGGGAACCCAATGAGCATAAACCTCTTTCAATGCCTCGATGGCCTTGTGCCCTTCTGGTGTATCCCTTCCACCGATCAGGACACGGTCCGGGTTAAAAAGATCCTCGATAGCAGTTCCCTCGGCGAGAAATTCCGGGTTTGAGAGGATCTGAAAGTTTATGCCTTTGCTGTTGTGGGTCAAGATCTTCTCAATCGCCTCGGCTGTTTTCACGGGGACCGTGGATTTCTCGACGACGATTTTGCTGGATTTCGAGACATCAGCAATCATACGAGCAGCACTCTCCCAGTAAGTGAGATCGGCGGCTTTTCCTGCTCCGAGACCTTGTGTTTTGGTCGGAGTATTGACGGAGACAAACACGATATCTGCCTCGGAGACATGTTTCTCCACTTCTGTGCTGAAGAAGAGGTTCTTGCCTTTGCATTTCTTCACCACGTCATCGAGACCGGGCTCGTAGATCGGGAGGTGGTCGCTGTTCCAGGCACTGATTCTTGGCTCGGAGATGTCCACTACGACTACTTCGATATCGGGGCACTTATGAGCTATCACGGCCATGGTTGGTCCGCCAACGTAGCCAGCGCCGATGCAGCATATCTTCACCATTTTTTTTTTGGTTTCCTGAAAGGGGACAAAACCAGGATGATGTCGAACAAGAGACAAAACCAAAGTTCAACGAACATTGCAAGACAACAACCTTAAACGTAAACAGACATGGGAATCGCCGATAACTCGATCTGGACGACCCGAATAATCCATTTGACCATCAGATTGATCGATGACAACTGTCGTTAACTAGTGACGCTAACGTTCTATTTCACGCAGATATGAAAATGGATCGAGGAAATTTTGGATGATCAAACCGTCAAGATGGAAAGACCTCAGTGAGACATTAAATCAAACACCTTGCGTGTTCGGATACATAAGATTCTAGATTATCAAACTGGAAACTATAATTTCCTTGGCAGTAAGATCTCGGGCAAAAAACAGAGCATGATCGATCCAAGTGTAAACAACCGCAAATTATATACAACGAACAATACCCAGTCTCGCACTTGGAAAAAAAAAACCCGTAACACCGCAGAAACATTGATCAATTGGAAACAAAAGACCGCGAGAACTGGAATTCAACATGATTGAGTATAGCGAAATTGTAAGAGGAACGACAAGAAAGCCAAAGACGAGAAATTTACCTTCTGGGTCTTGTTAGTTACAAATTGAACGAGGGAGTAGAAGATGGAGAGACAGAGACGGAGAGAAACAGAGAGAGAGAGGGAAGAAGGAGAGGTCTTATGAAGGAGAAGGAGAGAGAGAGAGAGATTCTTACGCCGAAGACTGAGGTGGTGTCGGAACATGTCTTGGGAATATATACCACCAACTTCAACTAACTAAAAATCTACACATCTAACCGCCACTCGTTTATTTTAATTAAATAAAATTGCCATGTGCTTTTAATTAATTTCTTTTCCTTTTTATAATTCGTTTTTTGCGTGTAAAATTGATTAATAAAAGATTTGTAAGAAACCCGTAACTTACGCCTTCCATTAAACGTTAGGTAACAATCACATAATTCAGGTTGATCGTACCAAAATATGAGAAATAGCGTAAATCAAAAGGACATATGTGATCCAAGTTTGAGTGATCCAAGTTTGAGTGGCCTAGTGATGAGAGAACATGTAAAGCATGCTCTCATCCTGGGTTCAAACCCAAGCGTGGGAGGGGTATTCATCTGAACTTCCTCGATCCTCTGAGAGATGTAGTCGGACTAAAGGTCCGGTGAACTTGCGGATTATAAAAAAAAAGACATATGTGTGTGCGTGCGCACGCGCTTGCTTTTTATTTGGTTATGGATTGAAATTAAATTACGACAAGTTCTATAATAAAATATACACATATAGTACATTAACATTTGTACTTTTTATAAAATAATGTAAATAACACATCCGATATGATAGCCAAAAGATACATACATACATATATATATATATATATATATATATATATATATATATATGTGTGTGGGAAAAGTCAGAGAGTAAATACAATAGTTGAGACCACGATTTTCAAGAAGAAGAAGAAGAATTCAAGAAGGTGGTGAACCAATGAACGGAATGTTTAGGGTAACGTTTGAGGTTGTCGTTATAGTCCACAAAATAGAGACCGAATCGTGAAGTGTAACCAGCGGCCCATTCCCAGTTGTCCAATAACGACCACGCGAAGTACCCTCTCACATTGCACCCATCCTCCCTACAAAAACCATTTTCAATTTTGTGTAACCATACAAAAAGAATATTACAAATTACAATCATCATTTCATGTATAGAATAATTGTAATATAATATGGATTAGTTATGTATATATATCATTTATATATAAAGAGCCAATGTAATATATACTTAATGGCGGCTTGTAGGCTAGAGAGGTAATCATGATGGTATTTAATCCTCTTCTCGTCCTTGAGGGCATTTTCTCTCGATATCAGTATACTATTTGGATCGTCCATTCCTGAAAAAGCAAGAACATATATATGTATATATATATATATATATATATATATATAATCAAAACAAATATCTCAACGTATGTTTACGTAGACATGCATGCATGCATGCATTATCTACCATTTTCTGTGATGATCACCAGAGGATTCCCGTATCTCTGTTTGATGTAATTCATCAAGCTTCTCATCCCTCGAGGTACTATGTATAACCATATCGAATTTGCCTGCCAAAATGTCCATACATATATATACATATATAACATATATAGATTCACGAAAACACAATAGATTCAACATATAAGAGAACTTAACATCATAATCTTACCCGATCTCCGATCGGTTGCAGTCCTTTCAGCGCTGATTTCACGATAATCCGACATAAACAAACAGTATCTATGTCATCATACGTACGACTCAAGAGAAAAACTACAAGTATATATACACACTTTTGTAGTTATGTATGTACTTACGTCCAGTGGATGTTCCAGAATCTGCAATGGCGTCATTAAGGAGAGTACCGATGAGATTAGTCTTGTTGTTCCTCGCATAATTAGTAGTGTAATGATTAATCCCGACGAAATCGAGCGAACCCTTCAAGAGATCGGTCTGAGATTGCGTAAACTTTGGCAATCTCTTACCAACTCTTGTTCTCATCGAATTAGGGTAGTCTCCAAACATCAAAGGATCAAGGAACCTAAGTTACATATGTAACAGAAGCCAATCATTACGTACATACATACATATATATATGTTAAGACATAGGAAGAGTTTCTAAATTTACCAGCCAAGCTGAAAGTCTTGAGCTCTCTGTGCTGCTTCAATGTCTTCTGTTGTGTTTGTTTCAGGTTCGTACCACACAACATCCAACGCTATTCCTAGCGATCCCCCTTGATTTCCCTATATATATGGCATCATATCGGTCGATATTTCAATATCTTATATATGCAGATTTAGAATTAGAATGTGAATATTCGATATGGTTATCATATGGTATAAAAACGAGACAGAGTAGTTGCAACTTGCATGCAAGAACATCCATTTCATGAATGCATGCATGCAAAGAACGTGGAAACTATTTGTACTACCAATAACCCTTGCTAGAGCTCTATATTTTCTGTACAAGATTGATCATATCAATTTCTTTCAAGCAATTATCCAAAAGATATTCACTCTCATTACCACAGAACAGTTAAAATTTCAATTTATACACATAACCGGTTCTTCGAATGATGTGGACGATGAACATTGCATCGAAGTTTCGGTATATATATGTACGTACCTTATATTTCTTCCTATAGATATCAGAGACGGTGGCGTGAGAGAGAAGAACATTGTGTGCGACGATGTAAGGCTCGGTAGAAGAGTTTCCGACCCGGCAAAAGAGCTTGAGGAGGATAGAACATCGGCCGGGAGCTTGTAAGCCCACGTCGTAGCCCTGTATGGCAAAATTATGCGGCTCGTTGAACGTTATCCAGTGCTTCACTCTGTCTCCGAAATTCTTGAAACACACCTCGGCATATATAGCGAAATCGTTTCTACAAATGAACATTGAAAACAACTATAACGATATATATATATATGCTATCACAATGTAATTATAATTTAAAACCTATGGTTTTCGTGTATTATATCTATAATAAGTACGGTTGTATATTGATGAAATACAAATGTTTCTGATGTACATCGTATATGGTAGAGCCTGAAATCGTTTTACAATGGATTGAAAACACGTCATATATTATCATAGTGCTTAGAATTTAACCTAAGGTGTTTCATTATGTCTATAAATACGTACATTGATGAAATACAAAAAAATATCTTATATATCTTATATGGTTTTAGAAAACACAACACTGTATATGCTATCATACCATTTAGAAATTTAACCTAGGGTTTTCCACGTACGATATATGTTAGTACATTACATATGAATGAAATATATAAAATTATTTTGATATTTTTATAATGAAATTATTTCTTATGTTTTTTTTTTTTGCTTACATGATTTGGGGACTCAGCCAACCATTGTATCGGTCTTCAAGGGCTTGAGGCAGATCCCAATGGTACAACGTCACGTACGGTTGGATCCCTACAATAAGTTTTTACATGCAATGTTTTCATGTGTTGTTACCATATACTAAAGAATAAATAAATAAATAATATCATATAATGTATGAAAACTTGGATTTAAATGTTTATACAATAATATGTTTAGAAAGTCATCTAACAATGTTGGACTTACCTTTAGCAAGTAACGCGTTGATGAGCTTGTTGTAGTGATCAATTCCAGCTTGATTTATTTGCCCCGTACCATCTACATAAATTAGAATACCATCACATAATATGTGATCAATGGTGCATGTCTCGAATTTCGGTTCGTGGTTCGGTTCAGGAACGATATTTTCGGATTTTATAAAAATTATACCAAACTAGAACCAAATATTAATCGCTTCAACTCGGTTCGGTTTTAATGCAGGTTCAGAACGATGTCGTTATATAAAAACCAAATAAATACCGAACCATAATATCTACGGTGGATAATTCAGATTTTGGTTCGGTATTGATATTTGTACGATTCGATTCAAGGACAATTTATTCGGTTCTATAAAAATATACCAAATTAGAATCGAACATTTTGTTCGGTCCGGATTCGATTTGGATCAGGTCGGAATTAAATTCCCGCTATAATGGATCCATCTACCTATATTCAATTGATTATCGGTTAAATCTAAATTAAATTAAATCGATAACGTACTTGGGAAAATCCGGGACCATGAAATCGAGAATCTATAAGCATCCATGCCCATATTTTTCATAAGTTGCACGTCTTCCTGCCAACATTTTATGAAAAAAAATGAAAATTTTATAATTTTGATTTTTGTAACGGTATAATAATATTTTTTTTTGTAACCTCGTAACGATGGTACTGGTCAACGGCAACATCGGCGTTGCTAGAGTCAACGATTTTACCGAAAGCGTGAGAAAATGTATCCCACACCGAGGGGCCTCTCCCGTCTTCCTTCACCGCTCCCTCGTACTGCAATATTTAGCATATAATTAAACGGTCGGTCCAATAATTTTCATTTATATTGTTAGTATTATCATTGCTCTTATTCAATAATTAAAATTATGATACGAAGACAAACAAACAATAATAATGACAATAATCGGTGGAGACCTCGAACGCACATGGGGGGGGGGGGGAGATT